ATTTTCAACGACATTTCTGTTAATATACAGCCCATATAATGTAAACTGACATATGGTTGTATACCTACATTAAACATGCATTATGCAAGAGAACAATCTGCTTATTACAAGTCTTTCTTTAGGCCTGAAATGTTATCTAAATTATCAATTAGACATTAATTAACTTATCCAGACCATAATAAACTCTCGATGTCAAGGCTAGCCTTCGATGTTGGCTGGATTAGATTCCTATATGCCGCTAACGGCCATTGATAATTAAATTTTAAAAAAGTGGATAATCGAGACTATGCTGTTTATATTAATGATTTCAGTAATGATGACCGAGATTATGCAAAAATTTCACCCGCTTCTTTCTCGGCTCATAGTGGATCAATTTGACTGAAATTTTCAGCAAATTACCTTTACACTATTATAGCAAGAACTGCCATCTCTTTATCTTATCTCCCATAATGTATCTTTAAGTTTGATCTAATCTTACACAAGCCTTGTATTCATATGCATCTAGATCGTTTTAAATGTAAGTTAACAAACCACGTGATCTGACAAATCCGGCACTGTATTTTTACAATACTTATAACTGCGATAAATATCATTTTAACAGTTTATCCTAGGCTCCTGTATATCGACTTAAAATAGGTTTTCTTTTTCTTCTAGTTTTAAGAAAAGATGGGTTTGGTTCCAATCCTTTATTTCGTTGCCTCGTCGTTCAAAGCTTGAATCCCGGTATAAAGACATTGTTTTATTCTTTAAAAACTTAAAATGAACCAAGTCGGAGATTAAACCACACGCTTCAAAAACGTCTTCTTCATCTAAATTTACGCCCTTTTCCTCCAACCAATCTAAAGATATCTGAACTTCATTCCAAGAAGGTTTGTGATCAAGAATAATCCAAGATAAAGTTGAAAGGTCTGACAGATTATTAGTCCATTTGCTGATTTAACTAATGGCAGTGCTGTAAAAAGAAGACACGTCTTCGTTAAATCGGGAAACCAGGCGGTCGTAATCTATTTTGCTCAATAACTCTGTAACAGAAGTTGGCAGAAATGTTTCCTCTAATCTCCTAAAAGGGGGGAGGGGGTGTTGGATGGCCGAATGGTTAGCACGTGTGCGCTGTATCATCAAGTCTGTCATTGAGTCAACTGGCGTGGTTTCGAATCCCCGGTTGTACGTGACAAGGAGTAGATTCGCCTGTCCAACCTCGTGGGGTTTTTCCGGGTCCTCCGGTTTACTCCCACTGCTAAAGACCCCTACGCGCAAGCGAATTATTGAAATAAACTTGAACCATGTGTTAGTCCCGAAATAACCTAGTTTGTGTCGAGTGGACGTTAAACCTCATTCCTCTCTCACTTCCACTTCTGTTTTCAATATAGCCTTATTGAACAATGACATTTGGGATTGTAAGAATAATAAATATACCTTGGCGATTGGACTTGCAAAAAACTCAACGAAAAAATTTTAGGTGGATGTTCTTGTGAGAGAAAATATGATTTCACTCCATCATAAACCCCCAACAAACGCTCTATCGCTGGGAACAAAGATAGCCATGTAGTCATACTGTGAGAAAGCAAATTCTGGTATGAAATTTCTACAAATTCACAAAATTCCTTAAGGGCGTGTACCCTTACTGTGTATATGGAAAATACACACCGCGAACACATCTGAAAAAATTCAGTTCAAGCTTTGAAATTTTGCGCAGGTCTCCTGAGGCCTCCTGATAGTTCCCCATGGCTCACGAAGCCCTCGAAGCTTCCCCTGCACACAGCGTAACCTGTTCCCTGTTCGGGATAATCAATTTCCATTGGTAGTATATCGCCGATGAAAAAAATGCCCAGTAGGACCTAAGCATAAGTGCCGACGATATGCCACCACGCTAGAGACTGAGATCTCCCGACATGAATATTCACCCGATGATGTTGATTATCGGCGAAGGTACCCCGGAGCTTTCCCGATTATTGGGAGCCATCCCCGATGATTCACGGCAATTGCTCGGATGGGGGGGGGGGCATTCCCAGAAGTTTTGTGACCATAGTCGAAGCATCAGTGCACATTCACCAGACCACCCGGATGCTTAATAAGTTCTATTTCTCATGGGACTACTCCGTTTCTTTGTGCAAAAACATCCGGAGCCATCGGTAGAAAATTTGTTTATTTCCATATGGCCGAAGATTTTTTCCCCTTGGGACCTAGGCATTAATTAGTTCGTGAAATATGGTTAGTGATCTGCCATTTTCCAAATTGTACAAAAGCCTCAATATGAAAGACTGGGTTTTGTTATTAACATTTTGATCCACACATCTTTGCCCTTAGGCTGACCTTAAAAATATCTTTGTTTCGCCTAACGCGACCGACTACCTAAAACCACCCCCGACTTAAATTATTTTATTGCACTTTTCCGCGATCTTTTTATTTTATTTTATGTGTCAACCTGAAATTATATCACGAGAGTTATTTCCCTTTACTATGGCCATACTGGTTGATCAAGACGAAAGCGTCATAGGTGTCGCTTCTCACCAAAATGTCCGTTCCCACGAAATGATTCTGCCTCTACTATGTCTGTGGAGCGTCGTATTAACCATGACCACACTATTTTCGGTATCGATTTACGAGAAAAATGAAAGTACAACCCGCACGATCATTAAAAACGTTTTGAAGGAAATTCATACTTCAAATTCGTGGCAAATCGTGTGCGAATCGTGCACCACGAAAAATCCCGATGTCATTGGCATCGATTTGTTTGCAAATAAAGAAGACGAATGTTTCCACCCGGAAAAGGATAAGCTGTCGAATTAGCTTTAAAGTTTAATAAAAACTTTAAGTTTGTCACTTTTTACGTCAGACCCAATATCAATCAATCAAACTCGGAGCAAAACACCAATGGTAATGTGAAAACTGACCAAAATGCATTTGACGTGCTTATGCACAGTTCAGATGAATTCGTAAAAATTCCTAGAAAGCAGAGCAAAAGTGGAGAAAGGTTTACTGGGAAAGACAAACTGTATAATTGTGTTTGTGATAATTTTGAACAAGAAGGACTGATATTTACAAGAAACACTTTAACTTGTGTTAATTACATAAGTAGTATTGTTAACTGTTTATGGTACTTGGACGGAAATAAATCAAAATTTGCTGATCGATCAATTCATGGAATAGTCAAAGATATTCCTGAACGCTTTAAAATAAATTTCAATGACTTTAATGATTGGAGAAAGAAAAAACAGAAAGTGCCAAGACTAGATTCTGGTCAGTTAAAACAATATGCAGATTCCATTTTTAATATTATTAGCCGACCATTTACAAAAACTTGGCCTGAAAATTTGAGAGTTGACTTGGAAAAGTTAGCTGTCTCTATAAATTCATACGGAGTTTATTTAGAAAGAAGACTGGCTGATGTTAAAACAAACCATGCCCTTTCACAACCAGTTCGTCAAATTAGTACACATGTATGGGTTTCATTTCACAATTCCTGTGATGTCGAGTTTGAAAATATTGAACACAATTATGATACACTGGATGAAACATTATCAATTAGTGATGACTATAAACCTATTTACTTTGATGAGGAAATTCATGTGCCAAAACGCTTTACAAATGCCATGGAGAAATCTAGGTTTTTTGAAAAATTAAAATTAAGTGTACCAGTGGATGTTTTGAGATATGACCCTGGAGGTGCTTGTGGTCAAACATTATTCCTATGGAGAGTTCCACATGGGCGTAACCCAACAGAAATGATGAGTAGTGCAGCGAGAATAGTAAAATCATTAGAGGACAGACTCCCAGAATATCATACCAGACGTATGCACAAGGAATTTAGTGAAAAGTTCAGAAATATCTCGGGTAACAAAATTCCTCAACATGTTCTACGTGCCATATATGCAGACTTGACTTTAGATTGTTCGGTAGATCAAAATTCCACTCTCAATGCACGTGTTCAACAAGCCTTACTCTCTGATGATCCAGATTTAATCATAGACATGAGACATTTAAATAGAGGACGCCCTGGTGACACATTTACTGCATTTTTTGATAAACTCCAAGAAAAAGTTGATCAAATGTGTGCTGCAGATGAGAGACGACATGGTGTGGAGCATATGGCCAAATATCTGAGTGTGAGGGACCTCCGAGAGGATATTTGCAAAGAATTGCCACCTGAAACACCCATCCCATCTGAGGCCACAATACTTTTTGCATTTGTTCCTAGAAGTGCTCATTCAAATGTTAGCAAACTGTATAAAAGCAAAATACCCTTAAAGTTTAAAATTCAATCAAGACAATTACGCTCTTCTCACATAGATGAACACTTCTGTGCTGCTCAATTTAAGTATATGCGTTCATTTGCTGTGAAATTCTCAACTAACACTACCTTGTTGTGCATTGATGATAAATCTAAGGTTGATTTTGGTGAACCAGGTGCTGTGTTATCAACAGGTGTGAGGGGCAAAACTTCTCTTGTTCCAGCTACATCAAAATTAGTTGCATTAGACCATGATGTAGCCTCAAAGGGGTCTCTTACACCTTCAGTATGTCTAGATGTTAATATTCCAGATGAAACCAGCAAAAGTTTCTATTCTGGTTTAGTTACTGTTACTTTGAAAGATTCAATATTTGAAGCCAGTAGCCCATTTAGACATGCCACTGAACTTGTAGACTTATTGAAACAAAAAAATTGCACTAAACCTATACTCATGCTATATTCTGATGGGGGTCCTGATCACAGAGTTACCTATAATAGCGTGAAACTCTCTTTAATAGCAATATTTAAAGATTTAGATCTTGATTTACTAATTGCTGGGAGAACAGCACCTGGTCACAGCTGGGCTAATCCAGCTGAAAGAATTATGTCCTTGTTAAATTTAGCTTATCAAAATGTTGCTCTTTGTAGGGATGAATGTAACTCGGATATAGAGCAAATATTAAAGTCTTGTAATTCAATGCAAGACATCAGAAAGAAGGCAGAGTACAATGAAACTCTGATCTCTGCTTGGCGCAAGTCATTAAATACTATGATAGATACTTTAAATGAACGAACCTCAAGGCTCATTTTAAAAGGTCAGCTGTTTAAATGTGGTAATGTTGCAAGTAAAAATGATGTAGAGAAACTTGAAACTAAAATCATACATGCAATTGATCCAAGTATTGAAAAGGGCAAATACACTAAAAAGGATTTAGACAATAAGTTAGGATATTCTTCATTTGTTAACAAACATTGTAGAGAAAGAAAGTACATGTTTCAAATAAGAAAATGTAACAATGCTTTATGCTGTAATCCATCTCGTAGCAAAATAACTCTACCCTGGCTGCCAGATCCTGAACTAGATACTAGTAACATAGGACATTACAAGTCTTTTGAATCAGTTTTAGGTCTTGATACAACTGAGAAGGACTTACCCAGTACACTAAATGATACCGTAGCTCATATTGCAGAGCAAGAACAAGGGTGCAAAAACTCAGTTCTTACGGCACAAAACGTACGAGGTATTATTGACTGTTATGAATGTGGAAAACCACGTTGTATATATGCAAAAAATAAATTAAGTCTAAGACAAAATAGAAGTCTAAAAAGTCTTCGAGACAAATATGACTATTCTTGTGGTTCTGTTATAACTCCTGATGGTCATGCTATACAAGGTGTCATATTCTGTCGTCTACAACTTTCTTGTATATCAAATATAGAATTCCCCTATTATTCCTCTGGTATTGGTAGGAGTGATTTATGCTGTCATTGTGCAAAAGAGGGGGCAGAAAGAGACAAAGCACTCTGCAATTCCTATAAAATTGTTTTGCCAGTTTGCAAAGAATGTTTAGAAAGTGGAAAACAAACCCCCAAACGCCAACCAAAAAACAAATGAACTGAAAAAAACGTTATTGAATATCTGCTAGTAATAGTTTGCCTGACACTATGTATTTTTATACGTCCACATTCATAATGTGAACGTATTATGCCGTCGCCCCTGTCTGTGTGTGTGTGTGTGTGTATGTATGTATGTGTGTGTGTGTGTGTGTGTGTGTGTGTGTCTGTGGTTCGCCTACAGGGCGCAATTCTTCATGGATTTTCTTCAAACTTGGTATACTTATTCCTTATACCCCAAGGAAGATCCCTATTGTTTTTGGTGCATGCCCGACCCCCCGGGGCAGAGCCACGCCCATTTCTAGTATTTGTTTGTTTGTCGTCTACAGGCCACATTTCTTAACTAATAATCTTGAAACTTTGCATACACATTCTTTGTACCCTAAGGAACATCCCTATCGTTTGGGGTGCATGCCCAACCCCCAGGGGCAGAGCCACGCCCATTTTCTTTTCGTGTGTCTTTGTGTCGCCTACAGGGCGCAATTCTTACTGGATTTTCTTCAAACTTGGTATACTTATTCCTTATACCCCAAGGAAGATCCCTATTGTTTTTGGTGCATGCCCGACCCCCAGGGGCAGAGCCACGCCCATTTCTAGTATTTGTTTGTTTGTCGTCTACAGGCCACATTTCTTAACTTATAATCTTGCATACACATTCTTTGTACCCTAAGGAACATCCCTATCGTTTGGGGTACATGCCCAACCCCCAGGGGCAGAGCCACGCCCATTTCCCATTTTCTTTTCGTGTGTCTTTGTGTCGCCTACAGGGCGCAATTCTTACTGGATTTTCTTCAAACTTGGTATACTTATTCCTTATACCCCAAGGAAGATCCCTATTGTTTTTGGTGCATGCCCGACCCCCAGGGGCAGAGCCACGCCCATTTCTAGTATTTGTTTGTTTGTCGTCTACAGGCCACATTTCTTAACTTATAATCTTGCATACACATTCTTTGTACCCTAAGGAACATCCCGATCGTTTGGGGTACATGCCCAACCCCCAGGGGCAGAGCCACACTTTATATACTTATTCTTTGTACCCTAAGGAACATTCCTATCATTTGGAACATCCTTATCATTTGGAGTAGGCCCTACATGCCCAACCCCCAGGGGCAGAGCCATGCCAATTTTCTTTTTGTGTGTCGCCTACAGGCCACAATTCTAAATCGATCATCTTGAAACTTAAAATACATATTCCTTATACCCTGAGGTTGGTCCCTTTTCTTTTGGGTGCATGCCCGATTTTGGGGAGATAACTCCATTTAACAATGTCAAACTCCATTTAACAATGTCAAACTGACGTGATATGCTTTAAATAGTTGTCACCCATGTAACATTCGGGTTTTTGTGAGTGGTTTCTGAGAGCCTTTGTTCAACTTATTTTTCAGAACGCTTTGTAAGTGTTAGAAGTATTTATACCGGTTATTTGTTGACGTTTCAAACCACCGTTTTCTCCCCCTTTCCTCCCACTGCTAAAGACCTTTTGGTACTGCAATGACAATGTCTCTCTCTCTCTCTCTCACACTAAATAAATTATAAATTCATGTAACTGCAAGTACATGTGCGTTTTCAGGATGTACATTTTTAAAAAGTCTTATGTTTGGGTGTCATTCGTTATTATAATTTAGTACCAAATTTATTATTAATAATTTGTCTTTTAAGAATATTAAGTACTTTTGTCAGATTGGGATTTAATTTCAGACTTCGGTTTCACTTGGTTCGGAGGAGATAACTCCGTCTAACAATGTCAAACTGGCGTGATATGCTTTAAAGAGTTGTCTCCCATGTAAAATTCGGCGTGATATGCTTTAAAGAGTTGTCTCCCATGTAAAATTCGGGTTTTTGTGAGTGTTTTCTGATAGCCTTTGTTAAACTTATTTTTCAGAACGCTTTGTAACCAGAGAAAATTAATAAGTGTTAGAAGCATTTATGCCGGTTATTTGTTGACGTTTCAGAACGCTTTGTAACCAGAGAAAATTAATAAAAGTGTTACAAGCATTTATACCGGTTATTTGTTTGGGTGTCATTCGTCATTAAAATTTAGTCCCAAATTTATTATTAATAATTGATTAATAATAAAAATAGCAAACCCCAACGGACAGTAGAAATTGAAAAGTTTAGACTAGATCAAATTAATAAGTTATACTCTAAGGACAGGAACTATTGATGTTGATGCACGACCCTCAACGCTAAACAAACCAAAAGCCTAGCCTTCTTGACAAAGTACCTTGTCAATCAAAGCAGAATTGGAATGTGGACGTATATTGTAGCGTTAGCGTTATGTTTAGTATTTATCATTGTAATATATTAAATCTTCAAGTTTCTTAGTTGTTAATTTCATATATAATATATTAAATACTTTGATCTCTAAATGTCCAACAAATTATTAAGATCAATGTTCTTTTAATACTAAATAAGTATAGAGCACAGTTCAAGTTTACTGTCAGAGATACAGTCTATGTCAGTTTTTTCTGTAAGAGATTTGGTATTTAAATATACATTTATGTTAAAGTTTATTGTTAAAAGTTCCCTCATTGTTTGGAAATGAAGGCATTGAATATGGTTAGTAATCTGAACTAAGTTTTTAATTTAACCATGATTGAGCCTTGTTTGAGAATAACATGTAAGTTAACATGTCTAAAAAGTTTGTTTATTATATTTGTATAACAATAAAATGGTGATGACTTATACTTGTCTTAATTATTCCTGAAAGCTGTGACAAAATAAAGCATTCAAATTCTTCTCTAGTGCTTGGATACTTTCATAGCTGAAAAAAGTGTGAGAAAATGGGGTTTATAACAAAATTAATGAATCTGTAGTATACAGCTAATAAGTAAACCCCTTTTCTGTATTGACTTCTCTGACTTTAAAAAAAAAAAAAACCGACCTACCGACCCTTCTCCTGGATTGTGGGTCGGGTTTGGTGAAACAAAGATATTTTTAAGGTCAGCCTTAGCATACTACAGGAAATGTTTGCTGGTTATGGACAACCCCACGCTTAACTTAAACAGTGCATTTCATACATGTAATATGTCGAATAAACATGCATAATATGAAAATCTTTTTAACATTCAGATTGATGAATTGTCGTTAAGTGATTTGATATCAATGTGGCATAAACAAATGTTCCATAAACGGGAATTTCGTTTTAAGTAAATATCTTGAAAATGTAAGTTAGTATCGGGAAAATTCAAGTTAATATCAAGTTAGTATTTAGAAATTCAAGTTAGTAGTTTAAAAGTTTTAGGTTAATATCTTATCTTAAAAAAGTTTAAGTTAATATCTTAAAAATTTTAAGTTCTTAAATCTGATAAGTATGCGGGACAAAGACCATTTATTATTTTCCAAAGTAAACACAGCCTGTGGATTTTTCTGCGATCTGATACTTTGGGCCTTCCAGTTTCGAAATATAAAGCTGACCTCGGTGTGTAAATTGTGCATCCTGTAGTAAGGATATTTTTTCAGGATTAAAATTAATCAACCATTTCTTTGACCATGTATACAAGATATCTAGATCTGAATTTAAGTTTTTTTTCAATGTTGTTGATAGATATATCAGTTGAAATTAGAGATGTGTCGTCATCAAATAATCTAGACATGCTTATTAGATCTTCATATATGTCATTCATATAGATAAGAAAAGGTAGGGGGCCAAGTACAGAACCTTGTGGGATCCCGGCATTGGGAAATGTAATACACGAATAACAGTTTTCATGTATGACTTGTTGTTTTCTATTTGCTATGTAATTGGGAACTAGCTCAAGTAAATCACCTTTAATTCCATAATTAGACATATTATGAAGTAAACGGTTATGGGAAACTTTGTCAAAGGCTTTCGAAATATCACAAAATATTATTGCTGTAATTTGTTTATTATGTAACGCGGTACATATATGATTATACATGTACATCTCAATAATTTGGTGTGATGTGGAAAAGCTGGGTAGAAATTCTGACTGAAATTTATATATTAAATTGTTATTTAATAAAAAGTCTAAAATATGTTGATAGATAATTCTTTCAAATAGTTTTGAAACACTGTTAGGCAGAGAAGTTGGCCTATAATTTTTTGTGCAGAGGAATTTCTTGTGTTGATTTTAAAAATAGATTATTAATATTACTAGGTCCATTTGCTTTTGAAGTGTTCATTTGTTTTTTTTTAATACGTGATTTTATTATGCTAGTGTTTATATTGACTGGCGGACATGTATTACTACATCAAGGAAGTTGTACCATATCATTTTGAGTAGAAATTGAACTAAAATAAGTATTAAGTATATCTGCTTTATCTTTAGAATCTGTAATACTAACATGCTGTATTACTTTTTTTTTATATTTTCAATAATTGATCTGTAATATTCTTTTTTTGAATAGTATTTCATGTTATTAACTTTATTTCTATGTTTTTGTAGGCAGATAGATGGCCTTTTCGTTTAGATATTAATGCTTTTTTCCTTTGCCTATATCTTCTACGTATTTTTTTTTAATCTCCGGAGTAAACCAAGGTTTGTCTTTACTTCTTACAGTAATTGTTTTTAAAGCGATATATTGTTCTATCAGTTCGTCTAATATTGATGTTTGATGTAAATTTGTCGGTTATTTTATCTTTAGCATCATCTACATCCCATACATCGTCCCAACCAATATTAGATATATCATGATTCAACTAGCGAAAATCTGCTCGTTTATATAAATATATTTTACGTTGAAAACTTTTATTATGATAGATATAAATATCAAGATGAAAAAAAGTAGCAAAGTGATCCGAAATATTGATAGGAACTTCCAGAGTATCCACTGTGATATAATTAATACCAAGGATCTAATAATGTACTTGAAATGTCGGTTATCCTGGTAGGTTTTGTAATAGTATTATTGAGATTATGCATGGCATAGAGTGTATATATATGTTCACACAAGTTAAAATAATTGTCGTTAAGATCACCTAACACTATTATAAGCTATGTCGAAAGCCTTTTCAACTGATTCGTCTAATTCGAGTTCCAGCAATTTTTAGCCGTATTGAGAATTATTTATGATATATCCAGTTGTTAAGAATTTAAGTTCTCTTATTCGTTCAGAAATGGTAATGTGGTCCGTTTTTACATTAAAGACTCTATGACCGGCAACTCTTGTCAAATAGTCTAGTAGGTCTGCAGCCAAATTTTTTTAGCTTGCTTAGAAACACTGTTCTGCTACAAGGTCCTCCCTACTAAGCAAAGCGTTTTAAGGCCAGATGAAAATTGTGATAATTGTCAAGTAAATGCTATATTTATACTGACAATTGTGAAGTTGACATAAAATTACACATATGATACCTAGGATAGAACAGGCTTATCTTTGCTCCGTGAGGTGAACGACAGGTTCTCTCCAACCAGGCTTGAAATTTCTTTTGAAAGAGAGAGAGAAATGGGGTTTAACGTCCACTCGACACAAACTAGGTTATTTCGGGACAGGCGACCCTACTCCTTGCCACGTACAACCGGGGATTCGAAACCACGCCAGTCGACTCAATGACAGACTTTATGATACAGCGCGCGCACGCTAACTGAAAGTTTCAACATATTCCCTTTCTTAATAATTTCTAACTATTACAGCGAGAACCGCCAGTTCTTTATCTAATTTACATAACGCCCCTTTAATAGACACTTTTCGTACTCTATCCATTACATATGTATAAAACTGTATGGCGCGTGTTTTATCTATATATAGAATCTGTTTGCCATGAAACCAACCGGGTGAACAAACATATCAATTTTTAAATAACTTCACTATAATCAATATCCAGATATTTGTCATTTACAAGAAATTTAAGGAGCTAAATCGCTAATATTCTGGACCTAGAAATAGACACAAATGGGTCGCAACGCATATGATAATGTAATATGAATGTATATAAACTGATTTACATTCAGTTGTTTCTGTTTTTATTGGAATTTCTAATCAGTTATGTTCGGCGAAATACGCCAGAAGTCTCTATCGAATGGTCCGGCGTGGTTTCCCCCTTGTCAGTGATGCAGGACGGAGGGCCTGACAAGGACAGCTGTCTAGTCGTTCGGATGGGACGAAAAACCGAGGTCCCGTGTACACATTGGCGTGCACGTAAAAGACCCCTCGGCAGTTGGAATTCGATATAAGAGTAGGCCGTAGCGCCGCTGCCCGGGCAAAATTTCCCTCATAGCACACTGTGGCGTATGCCCGTCTTCATTAGCCTAGGTTAGGAGCAGAACAGTAGGACGTTAAACCCCATTTCATTTCATTTCATTTATATCGTCGGCTGATTTTTCATTCAGTGTTTTTCGGCAGTGTTTGTATCCAGTCCAGCCCACCTGACATTGCCCGTAAGGCCGCCCCTGTGGTCTGATTTTTTCTGCATGGAGCTGTGAAGAGCCATTGATAGTTAAGTAACTATAGCCCTGAGAAATTGTGATCTTAATAAAAATCGAAAATTGTGAGACGGTCGCCATTAATCATAAAAGTATGGACGGCGGACGCAAAGACACCAAGAAAAAATCTTCGTCTGCCTCTACCGGGATTTCGAAAGATTATTTAGACTCGGATATAGAACTAAATTTTAGGACTTTGTTGGATTTGTTACTTAAAGTTTGAACTGATATGAGGTGTTCAATTGTGGTTTGTTATATACAGTTTTTATTCCTGATAGCACTCTAAAGATGTCGTGTGATCTCTTGATTGTAGTTGCTTAGCAACAATCGAGTAAATAATAATTTTAAACGGGACTTACCTGTAAGCTGAAGTTTAATTGTAATTCTAGGTTGCTGGCGACAAACTTGGGAGATTACGTGCCCACCCGGACTTGGTGTATATATATTTGTATCTGCTGCGGTTTATTGTCCCTCCCCTATGACTCTCTTGTCTATTTCTGCCCCCATTCACTCTGGTTGGCTGATGGCGGGCGCGCGTCATCTTACGTAACCAGGTTGTCGCCAGCAACACAGAATTACAATCAATAAAGAATCGGTCCCAGATGAGTTATTTGCCCCTGAAGTCGATAATCATGAACGTGATATACTTTAGACAAAATATTTCAGACACAGCTTAATGGTATTTTTGAAAGAGATTTTCTATGTTACATGCGTCTGTGTATGGAATAACTAAACAAACATGAAATGAACTTGGAAAACTTAATGTTTGGCGTGACACATTTCATACTATAATCTGTTTTCCACGTTGTATATTTTACACAAAAAACTGGGATTTGCCAGCTTTAATAAAGATGCTTCGGGCATAGAATTATACTTTTCTATACAATTTTAAATGGACAATTTCATAATTATCTGGCATAGATATTGCCGACCTGTTTCACAGAGGTGCTGCGAAAGTGCCTTCTACATGTGACGTCACATCAAAAGGCGTCGATCATTGATTGGCTCGACGGCGCGTATATAGTTTACATAAGAGGTAGTACCATAAACTGGTGCGGGCAGACGAAGATTTTTACTTGGTGTCTTTACTTCCGCCGTCCATACTGTTATGATTAATGGCGACCGTCTCTAAATTTTCGGTTTTATTAAGATCCCAGTTTCTCATTCGAGAAGGTTAGTTTAAAGATACATTATGTAAGATTAAGATAAAGAGCTGACCATTCTGGCTATAATAGTGCGAAAATCGATAATGTAACATGAATAATTTGAAAATTTCATTCAAATTACTCTATTGCGAGCGAAGGTATTAGACTTTGAAGGTTTGACAAGACGTGTGCAATAATTTCAACCACCGTACTGGTTGTTCGAAGCTCAGTCTCGATCCTCCATTTTTAGCTTAAATCAAAATATCGCTGAACTGTTCTAATCTATTTAATATCGGAGAAATCCGATGCCATCGAGAGTTGATTATGACCTAGATAAGTTAAATAATATCTAATAAATTAGAAAACATTTCAGGCCTAAAGAAAGACCTGCAATAGGCAGATTTAGCTCTCGTGTAGCCCATCTCTAATATTCTATTTAAGACCCTACAAAAAATTATCAATGTCTACTAATTTAATTATTGAATCCAGAAACTGTATTAATATTCGCTAATCAGGCAACTGTAATGTAATCTCCCTGATAATGTCTGTCTACTACATCGTTAACACTGTTCATCACGTGCATTTTGCATACCGATAGTCCATTGGACAATCACGCTATTTTACCGAGATTTCGCCTAATAGTTTGGATGCAGCTATGGCGGGTGTGGCGCCAGGCAGGGTAAGCTTACTCTTCCGGACACTTGTTACAACTGTTTGTCGTGTATTTTGTACACGGTGAGCAGTCCATTTGCTGATTACACTATTTTGCCTATACCGTTTGTTTTGGGAACACAACTGGTGTTGGCTGTCATTGATAGTCCATTGGCCAATCACGCTATTTTACCGAGATTTCGCCTAATAGTTTGGATGCAGCTATGGCAGGTGTGGCGCCAGGCAGGGTAAGCTTACTCTTCCGGACACCTGTTACCACTGTTTGTCGTGTATTTTGTACACGGTGAACAGTCCATATGCCGATTACACTATTTTGCCTATACCGTTTTTTTTTAGGACTTCGAATTTTGTCTAATGGTTTTGATTGTTCGTACTTGGTTTAATTTTATTTTATTTTACTCCAATGCTTGGTATTATTTTATGTTATTTTACTCCAATGCTTTGTTTTATACAAACCTAATTAATGTCAAGGTGACTTGAGATCCAAGTCTTTGTTTTACGCTTCATTAATTGCATTGTGGGAAATTAGAACTCTTTCCATTTTGAGAGGATTAATTTCATTACAGCTTTTATTAAAATATCAATAAATACTAAAATACATCTATTTTGTATTTGTCTTTATAACTAAGATATTATTTAAGTATTCTGGATCATGTTTACTATAGTTTTAGTAATTGTCAAAGTTAGAGATTTGTGTAAATTGTCTTTTATGCACGATAAGCTCAGACCATGCTGTTGAAACCTATTCCGGTTTGTTTCCTAACCGTTTTTTCGGTTGAACGGAAGTTGCATCGATGCAACTAGGGCTTTGTCGATACAGTTGATTTTCGATACAATACGTATTGACGATACCGCAAACCGTCTCAAACTATATTTTGCTTTTTAACAGGCGTCCATTTTAGCCCCTTCTACATGCTCAAATAAAATTCCAAGAGAAAACTATAATTAACACTTTTTATTTAGTTTTGTCATCTACCTTGTGCATGGTTTTATTGCCCTGTACATCTACTGTAAGAAACCTGTTTTGTTTTAAATACATTCATTATTATTATAAAGAATGTCTATACATCATGTATCCAGATTCTTTTTAAGAAAAACCAAAGAATCTACATTTTCGCTTTTTAAGCATGACCTAGTTGCAGTTACAATGTCTCCAGTTGTACTAAAGACCCGCTCTGCAACTACAGAATAAGCCTAGATGTCGAGATATTTCATACTTAAAGAAGTTAAATATGGAAGTTCATTTTGTTTGGACTTCCAAAAGGTTAAAGGGCACTCTGACATTGGATTTTGGGGCATAGATTTGTTGTGGTGAATCTCTTTTTTAATCAGTTCTTTTTGTGTAACTGAAGAAAGCTCATCATCTCCATGAGCATCGTCATCAAAGATGCCAAGGCAGTCTTTTTGGCAGGAGGACTAGCATGTTCCTGAAAAGGTTAATAATTTGTTTACATATTATTAATCATTAAAACAATCTTATATCATAACTTTTAATTTAGCTGACAGATGAATATGATGGCATGACAATCGGTACCCGGAGCAGCCTTATTGGGTATTGGATAATATTAAACTCAAAATCTCTACTTTTCAACTGCAAATAAACATTGAAATACACCTTTTTCTGGTAAGTCATTATTATCAATATAGACAGCAGGAGCAGACAAAGCACATTTCTCAACAATTCTCTCAAATGTTGCATCTGGAATACTGGATTTGTTCTTGGTCCGAGGGTCAAGGGCACTGGCTTCCTCTAACAGGTTTACTACATTAAAATGTTTTGTGAGTAGCGGTAATATCAGGCTTGCAGTTGGAGATTTTTCTTCTGATAGTACCTTGGTGGCTGTTTCCATAACTTTCATTATTTTTACAAAATCCTCACAGTTTTGAATTTCAGAGTCGGACAGACCGCTTACAAATTGGACTTGTCATGTAAATCTTTTCACAGTCCCATCTAACAAAGTTGCTAAAATAGCAGGTCTTTGTTCCAAGAAGCGCTCTAGCATATAATATGTGGAGTTCCACCTAGTTTTGCAGTCTATGTTCAGGCAAGTCTAGTGCTTTCTGTTTGATTTTAACAGTTCTGTACCGATGTTGCTTTTGTGGAAAAAAGATACTACAGATCTAATCTTAGCTAACACATTACAGAAACCAGGAATTGTGAGAACTTTATTTGCTGCCAGATTTAATGTATGAGCAAAACAGCCCAGCTTCAAGATGTCTTCACCTGAAACATTTATCGCTACAGACATGTTTGATGCATTGTCAACAGTTATAACATTAACTTTTTCATGTATACCCCACTTCAGCATAGCAGATTTTAGCTCAAAAGCAACATTTGCTCCAGTGTGACTTCCTTGAAACTTCTCAGTTTGTAATACTTTTGAGTGAAGTTCCCAATTATGAATATAATGACAAGTTATGGTCAGGTAGGATTCTACAACTCTTGATGTCCACGCACCACTTGTTAACGCTACTGATGTTGTGTGTGATAATTCACTTCTTAATGAAGTTTGTTCTCTTTCATAAAGTTCAGGTATTAACTTTTCATTAATGGTTTTTCTCTAGGTTCCAATGAAAACAACATATTCCTAAAATATAAATACAAATTCAAAAAATGACAATTTGAAAATACAAATCCAAAAAATGACAATTTGAACATCATACACATTTAAAATTAACAAAACATCTGTGGTGTACTGGTGTAGCCTATAAAAATACAATATCAATTTTGAACACATAATAAAAAGTAAATGAAAAACAACACTTGATTTGAACTATATAACTACGTATAATTCGTCAGGTCTTAAGTTCAATGAGTACATACCTGAAAGCAGGACTCTCAACTGTGCAGTATGGTCGCATGTCTTTGATTATATAATTAATGATTGACTTGGTAATATCTGAGGCTTTCCATTTTGGTAAACTGGTCTGTTTTGCTCTAGTCCATGGTGTCGTGGGGACAGAATTGACAACACTGTTGTTGTCAACACTTGTAAAAGATGAAGATTGGATTGACAATATGACATGATTATGTAGGAAAGGGAACAAGTTTACAAACGACAAGTGAATTAATTATTAGACAATGGTCAGTTAATGACAAAGACTAAAAGTAAGGGTGATCTATATTAATATAATAATAATAATAAGATAAGATCTAAGACTATAAATATTATTTATTTGATTAATTCGACTTTTTTTTTACATGTATAATTATTGACGGTTTACATGTAGGCGACTAAGTTCCAAACATATGAATAGCACTCACCGATATCGTTCAATGTCACGTTTGTTTCAGGGGGAGTGAAAAACTGAGTTGGACTAGAAGAATATCTCTGACTTGGGGCTCCGGAACCGAGTGCGATTCTATGATGGCGTTTGAGATGGATAAACATATTTGTTGTTCCTCCTGAGGTTGCCACCTCTGCCTTGCAGAGGCCGCATGTGGATTTATTATTTTCATTGGGTACAAAATGAAGCCAAACCTTTGACTTTTTGCCTGACATCGTAACACTACTAGCAGACGATAAGTGTAGCACGCGCGACTAAAACCAGATCGAGGTCGTGTAGCTGTGGTTAACCATAGATCAAACTAAACTGCGTGATTGAGTGACATGTCAATCAAAAATGCACCGGGCATGTCGAGAAACGTCAAATCAT